AGCCGCTGCTTTTGCTTCCTGCGGCCCGGTGGGGAAGGGATACACAGAAAGGAAAAAAGAGAAGCAGGGTTATCTCGGTTCCGCTGCTGCCTCCGCACACCGACTTGGAGCAAAAATCAACAGATCGACGTGGCCACAATGACGGTAAAAGCAGGCCTCAGCGTGCTACTGATGACGGATGGGATTTAGCGGTGACAGCCGGTAGAGAAAGCTGACAAACGTGTGCCATGCACGGGTCCACACTGACACCTCCAGAGCCTGCACAGCGGAAGCGAGAGCTGCTTCTGAAGCGCTGCCCGAAAGCCACGAGCTCCCACTGCTCCTCAGTGTGGCCTCAGCTCCCACTGCAGGAACGGAGCTGAAGGCGGCAGCACTTCGGTCTCCTGACTCGCAAATAAACAAGGTTTAACCTAATTCCAGCTGTCTCCATCTTTGCTGTCCTCCCTTGGCACATGCTTTTCAAAAGGAAGCTCATCTGATCTCTCCTGTGTCATTCTTGGGCACACTTAGGGCCAGGTCATGCTGAGGTTAAATGTTGTCCTGCTGGCCTCAAAGGGGTCGAGACAGAGGCTTTGCAAAAGGAAAAACCCTCATGATTCACTGCTTAGCTGCTGGGGAATTCTTCACAAAGGTTATTGGTTGAATTGCTCTGTGATGAATCAGCAAATACAATTATCTAGAAGATTTTAAAATACGCAGGATGCTCCTAATAGCTGCAATTATATTTAAATTAATTTGGAGGAGTAAACAACTCCTATTGTCTCCAGTGCAGCCCACTGGTTACAGTGGGAGAAAATTCCTGCATTATTTGCACCTTCCTCAGCTAACACACGCTGTCCCATGAGGCACCCTGTGGCCTTCACCCCCAGCTGTGCAATCCATCCTCAAAGTCACATCGAGGTCCAACAGGTCACTCTGCTAAAGCCATGGGATTAGATCACTGGGCACTGAGACGGGCTGAGCGCCCAGGACGATTTAAAATAAAATAAAATGAAATAAAAATACAGCTAAACATTTGGGTCACAGGAGTCTAAATGATCATGCTGTGAACTCAGTATTATTATGGAGGCATTTGAAGCTTACCAATCCCCTAGAGTCAGCCATTCCTTTATGAATCCTTCAGTCTAATGCTTGCTCAGAACAAAACAAGGGAATAACAGTTACAAAACAAGAAACAACACAGCAGTGTAGTTTCCAAAACAAGGAAAGAGTTGAAATTCTTCAAAATTAAACACACCTGATGTCTTTCACAAAGCTTTCTTAGCTGGTAACAAAGGTTGCATGGATAAAATTCCGTACCTCTCCTATTCCAGCAGCAGTGCTCTACTGCCCATGGACCCGGCTGCCAAAGAAGCCAAATCCTTCCCCACACAATCAGCCTGCAGCTCTAAAGCTTCTGGACATCACTGTGAGCTCCCTCATGGAGGATTCATATCTCGAGATAAGGTGGGAAGTAGCAGCGCTAAAATCTTACAAAAGAAGTTCCTGTTATGAAACTCTCTTGCCCAAATTTGCAACAATTTAACTGGCTGCAGTAAATGTGAAAAAGCTACACCCAAGTTACTGGATGTTGATCATAGAAGCACACAGAATTCTCACCTTTTATTTATTGGCAGCATTTTCAAAAGCAAAATTCAATTTAGAAATGTTTTGTTTAAGTGGGTGTTGCCTGGACAGTCATAAAATAGACCATTTTTACTTACTGGATTTTAAAACTGAATCATAACATGATCCTAGAGCAGAAAAGGAGGAGGTCAGGTTTTTAATCCATGCAGTGTTACCTTTTTATCCCTAACATATATTACAAAGACGACTCTCCTCCCTGTGAGCAGTATTTCAGCCCTGTAAACCATCAGCCTCACGCTTGTCTCACACAAGTGAGGAGGGTGATTCACCCTGTGTGTTTAAGTGAAAGCCAAGAGCACCTTGGTTCTAAGCCCTTTTCCATCAGCAACCAGTGACCTGATTTCCAGCTGTATCAAGTGACTGTAGCCTCCACTGATGGCAATGGCTCCATCCTCTAAAAAAAAGAGGCAATGCTAATATTTATGCATCTGTTTAACAGTGCTAAGGACCGAATCATAAATGTTGGCTTGATCAGCATTATTTCAGCACTAGCTTTCCGTATGGTGCTGTTGAGCAGAAAGCTATGGAAGCCCAAGCTATCCTGGACACAACAAAGAGCTTGGAGCTGCTTCCCCGCTGGTATTCCATATGGGATATAAAATATCTGTGTAAATAAACCAGTCAAAATGCCCCTGGTAGCTTCAGTACAGAGCTGAAAGGCTAACTCCATCACACAAACAGGTTGGATTAAAGGCAGGCACGCTGAACCCATGCAGGTGGCACACAAAAACCACAAGACAGGAGCACAAACAGTACGAGGGAGCTCAAGCAAATGACCAGGGATAATGGCAACCAGGGAACGAGATGCAGAATTCACCAGCCTACCTTCACTTTGCTGGCTCCCTGCACTGCCGCTGCCGTAGCTGAACCCTGGGTCTTGGTATGCAGGTGGAAAACACGGAGGGGGCAGAGGATACTGATATGGGTATCCCTGGCCTAATGGCCAGGGAGCAGCGGGGTGCGGGAGCGGGGCAAGCGTGTCCTGATCCGAGGCGCCGCTGGAACCGTTGTTAAGGGTCAGCGCAGCCATATCTGGAAAAGAAAGAAGAGGTGAGAAGAGTGTTCCTGCCTAGCAGGCGATTCCTGACCATCCATAATGTCTGAGCTAGCACTTGGTGTGTCTGTGATGGACTCAATCTCCAAGGCTCACTCAAAACATCACACATGGGAGGGCAGGCATGCAAGCCAAAGAACCCCTGCAGGACTGTGTTTCTGTACGTCAGGGAGGAATCATCCTCATTTTATAGGCTGGGAGCTGAGTGTAACTGCTACGCACAAAGGCTTAGCATCACCAAGAAATAAACACTACCTTCTCGAGCCCCAGTGCAATGTGCAGTTGGATGAGTCCATCCTTCTTTCCTAGATGCCCTACATCTAACAGGAATTGTCAGTTGTTTGCATGGAAGTACAGAACAGCTGTGCAATCCCACAGGATGCTCTGCCATGTGCCCTGCCAGCACAGCACAGCTTCGCCCTCGACGCGGGGAACTTACTGCCACAGAGGTCTCCAAAGACATAATAGCACTGCTCCGAGAAGGTGATTTTGTTCACAGTGTGCCTGAGGTAGCCGTGTTTTAACATGCTGCTGGCGTATTTTCTAGCCTCCCGTCGGTCTTTGAAGCCTTCCACATGCGTGTAAAGCCAGTCAACGACATCTGCTCCTAATATAAGAGAGGGAGAGGACATTGAAGCATCCAAGTGCATTTTTTTATTATTCTTAGCTGGCAGTGCTACTGTGCTAAGCTGAACACAAATATGTAAATATCCTGCTGCAAAGATCTTAAAATGTCATTTTCACAATTCAGTGGATCAGCAGTTTATTCAGTCTGCTGTTAAACTGCAATAACTTTGCAGCAAAGCAAGAGCCTTTTAACAATTCATTTTAACACCAAGCTTTAATTAAGCAAGCATAGAATTACCTTGCACCCAGCTGAATGCTACATTTAACAATGGCACCAAATATACATTCAGAAAATTTTACTGTTAAATTGTTGAATCCTTTCTGAGTTGCACTAATGGAAATGACTTGGGATTTACAGAACAGAAACGGCAGGAAAGTCACTCTCAGGGCAGATGCTGGATCATCACTGGGTGCCAATCCTCCTCTATGCACAAAGTGGCTACAGCCACTTGATTATTAGATGTTAGCACAGGTTGGGTCACAGGACAGTCTCAGATCAAAAGGCAGACTACCTGTGGTAATATGAAATATAATTTAAGTGTTTTATTAAGGTTACATAGTTGTCTGGGACTGGAATTACAAGGACTGCTGCCCTTCTGAGCTTAAGTCAGTAGCCAGAGCTACATTCCAGGCTCAAATGAGCTACTGGCTCTTCCCTGTCACAATTAGATTTCTTCACAAATACCAAGCACAGGGAATCTAGCAGGTGATAGGTAAAACAAAATTACATCTGAAGTTTTGGCAGCCTGTTCCTAAACCACCACAGGTCTCCCCCCAGCACGCCTTTCATTTGCTTACCTATTACTGCATTGGAGATGGTAATTTTTAACCACATCCTGTCCCGGATTTCAAGGCCTGAGTCTGGTAGTTGCATAACCTTGACAATAGTAGCCATGTCACTCTTCACAGTTAAGGGGGATTCTTCTAATTCTAAAAGGAAAAACGTTACATGCTTCTCTGAAATCAGCCACTCTGACCAGAGCTTCGCAGTGCATCTGGGTGAAGCAAAACCCAAGTTTTTCCAAAGGCATAAATTACAGCATTCACACCAATTCTTCAGGAATTGATTCAGAAACCAGTTTAATCGCTGAGATGCTGAGTCCCTCCACATCCTGAAACCACCAACCCACTACAGGTCAGCCCTGCACTGTTTCAGTCCACAAGGCGTTAAGATTTTCAAAAAGAAAACCCCAGGAGCTTTAATTTTTCATTTCAAATTGCCATTAGTAGCCCTTGCCCACCCAAAGGTTCAGAATACCATCTGCAAACCTCTTTGGGGCAAGGTCTTTTGGCTTGTGCTTTAATTTGGGGATTTATCATCAGGATACCCATCTGCAGAAAGAAAATGACCGTGTCTAGAATGGGTACCAATCCCCACTTGTTTTATTAACACTTGGACAGGGCCATAAGTGGGGAGCATTAAAATTAGAAGATAAAGTTTCCATCATACCAAGTTGAAGGCTAGTGGATGCCCTTAAAAAGAAACAAAACAAAAACTTACCAGGCTCTCAGTGCTGCCAGTCTTAAAGGAGCCATCGTGTCATTTAACACAGCAAAAACCCTCTTTCCCCCAGCATCTTCCTTTGGGATTAGGAAAGCTGTTCCCAAATACTTCAGCCCTCGCTGCCCTGTTCATACTTCATTCCCCTTACGGGCAGAGCTGACTCACCAGAGACTTTCCTGATGAATTTTTATGCTCAAACCACAACAGGAGGGCCCAGTTTCACCCTGCTGAAACTGCCTGCCTTTGGAGACTAGTTCCTTAAAAAAAAAAAATCCTTATTTTCCATATATGGGGGAAAACGGGCACCTGATACTGACAGTTCAGGGATGAACTTGTCTGTCCATAAGGACTGTCCTTGGGACGCACCACACAGCCCCCCTTCCCCGTTCTCACCCCTACAGAAACCATTCCCTGCATGCGTGTCCTCTGTTTGCAGGGCAGACCCATCTCCAGAAGGAATTCCAGATCCTTCCCCAGCTCCATATCCCACCCACTTCCCAAAGGAACCAATTTGGCTTCGTTCCAGCAACTCCAGTTTCTGATAGAAGGTGCAAGCATGAAACAATGAAAACTGGAAATGCTTCCCTGGGTACATGCACTGCTAATACACATTGAATATCACATGCCACCTACGCGTGAAGTTTCAATACCTTAAAGTCTGAATAGACAATAAAATTTTGCTTTTGCTTTTTAAAGTTAGTTTGGTTAGTGGCAAAAAGCAATATTTTGAAAAAAAAAGAATCAGAAAATGACTTAAGTATGTGGGGAGCAATAAGTCTCATTTTCTTGGAAACCTGTGGTTTGCACAGAAAAAACAAACAGTGGCCAAATGCTCAGCAGGCTCTAGCTTGCTAGTTGCTGTCCAAATGAGATTCTCACATGCATTTAAATTGCATCCAGTTGAAGCTAAACCTGGCAGTCAACTGAGCCTGGCAGCTGACCCTTTATACACGTATGTGAACACCTGAAGACAAGATATTTTTTTTTTCAGCAATAGCTACTACAACTCAGTCAGCCTTAGCCTGGGTAGCCCTGTGTTTGAAGGAATGCACCTGAAAAAATGAAGAACTAAAAAATAATCTCTGCTGTGTGCTGGTGATTTGTATGGCCCGAAATCTCAGTGATCCAATCACTAATGTGGATGCGACTGGGCAGATGTTTCACATGTCAGAACTTCAGTTCTGATCTAGGCCTGATGAGAGGCCAGAAAGCAGAAGGAAGCTACATGGATGGAAAGCAGAGTTACTTGATCCACTTACATTCTCCTGGTCTTGCTGTATAAACAGAGTAAAGCAGAAGATATTCACAATACTTAAAATAAGAAACCTTAAAACACTAGTCTAAGAGGACTCCATTAACTCACCTCCTCCACTTTTACAGGCAGATACCATCCATCAGAAGTTGTATCTGCCTCAAGCACCAGTGATTCTAGCCCAAAGGAGGCAAATCTTGCACTGGATCATGAGAATTCAAAAAGCCCCATTCTGAATGCAGCTCTTTGGATGTAAGTGCATGTTCTCTTCCTCTCTCCTCCTCCTCCTTCCTCTTTATCCCAACTTTCCTGGCAGAAAGCTCCCCTGACAGGTGCTGTTTTGCCCCAAAGCCCTGAGGTGCTGCCTCCAGGAAGGTTTACACCATTGAACCATGGAAAAAGGGATTCAACAAATGGCAGTAGAGGTGGCAGTAAAGGTCAGGAATATCCCCCAGGTTCTTGCACTCAGAAAAGGAAACATTATACGTCACTGGCATAGAAATGAAAAGCTATCTCCAGAAACATGGTTCTGCTCCCAAAAAACTTTATTTTAAAAAGTATGATTGAGAAGATGTGTGCATTCCACATTGCTCAATCATTTTACTATATTTCAAGGCACCCGATACATGAATGTTTCAAGAGGAATGTAAACAGAGCGAGACTCTTACTGTTTGACAGTGATCAGCAGATACATTCAACTGCAGCAGTCTTTAGCACCAATAAGCTTGAAAACACATCTCAAGGGAAAACAGTCACGGCATAAGCGGTTCACTTGCTTTTTACTGTTGATATATTCCCCCTTCAGAGCTGCCACCTGCTACCTAAAGAGAAGCTGGGCTACTACACCTCTAAAAAAGACTAAACCCCTTTCAATTCAAGGGGAGGTGATAACCCCAGGAATTACCAGTTTAGGAAATCAGAGATGGTGACAGAAAAAAGGGCAGATGCTCATGTAGTCCCTCAGATGCAAAGATATCATCGAGTGAGAGTCAAAATTAGAACTGTGGCATTTCAGCCACATTTATCTGAGAAAGATTCTGTCACTAGTCATCAACACATTGGTCTTTAAAAAGATTTTTTTTTATCCTTTACCTCTGGAAAAACCTTACAAAAAGAAAAAATTACTCTGAACAGTCTTTCCAACTCAGACTCCGGGTCTGGCAGATACTGCCCCACACCTCCCTGGTTAAGCATGTCACTATTTACCCGAGTTTCAGGGAATGCATCCTGAACTAGCATCTTTTCACAACTCCTCAGAACTTTAAAGCCACCTCATGATTTGTATCCCTGTATAAACATATAAAATTCCTTGCTGCAGATGATCAAATTTGATAGAGAGGCTGCCTCTCTAAGAAACTCTTCCACATGAGTATTACAACTATTACAGGAAACAAACACACACTAATGATGTCTGAAGTTCAAAATTTTCCTGTCAAGATACTAGTATTCATCCATATTTAAAAAGAATGCTGCTTTCCTTCACCAGGACTTCCCTGGGCAGTGATCTAAGGTATACATGTTCCTTGTTTATTTGCCTTGCCTTAGGGTCACATATTTCAAACTAAATGCTTATCCTATACTCCTAACAGAAAGAAAAGAAAGAGACAAATAGAGGAAAAGCTCATATTCTTTAAACAAATAACTTCAAGATGAAGAATCATGGAAACTCAACTGTTTATATGGATGTGATTATTCTGGAGACTGCCACAGATAGACAAAATCAGGAAAAAGGGCTGAACTTGAACCTTAATTGCAGGTGGGAAGTTAAAATAGTTTTTCCCTTGTTCAATAAATTCTATAAAAAGGAATTGTACCATACAGGTAAACATATAAGGCAGGCTATGCGGATATCAGTGTAAGGCTCCCTAACATATACTAACATACATTATTATCCAGTGGTATCTACCTGGAAAGAAACAATTCCCATCTCCAAGAAGAACCAAAATACAACCAAACAAAAACCCTGCAGTCAAATGCAAGGAAGACAACCCCACATTTATGTGGGGGGATAAATTTGGAGACCTGCCTTGCAACTTTTAGAGAAGCAAAAGCCACCTCCAGTTCCTGGCTGTGAACTATGGCAACACATCACTGCACGAGCTTCTGACCTTCAAAGCAAAGGTTTTATGCTCCCCACAAGATGCACAGATTTAAGGAAACATTCGAGAGTTCTGTGGTGGTGGTGGTGTTCATGGTGCTTGTGGCTGGGCTCGGTTTTGTGCACACCTCTGCACTGCAGGCCCCGAGCAGAAGCCGCCTGCCCTGTGCTGGCCGCAGTGTGACTTACTTTCCGAATCGGGAATTGAGCTTGTTAGTGAGGAGCTGGTAGATGTGGTGATGCTCATGGAGGGGCTCATACCGTAACGGGGGTACGCTCCCGTCATGGCTGTGGTATGAGAGATCCACGCTGCAGGGTCGATCGGCCGCACCGGTTCTGCTGCAAAGCAACCACAAAGGCAGAAACAAGCAAATGGGATCAGATTTGCAGGAAGCACAAGAGGGAATGCTTCCTGAATGCACAGTTCTGATCAAGTAATTGAGTTTAAGTTCTAAACTGAGTTTAGTAACTCTTCAGTAACACTTAGAAATACCTATCCTCTAGCCTTGCCATGGATGCAGCCATGAAACAGCTAAGAGCTCCATACAGACCTACACAAATCAAAAGGACTCCCACAATTTCAGTGGGCACTTTAGGGTCTCGATGCCTATCTTAAGGCTTTGCCTCCAAACAAAAAGCAAATGATACATCCAAACTTCAAACAGGGAAAGGAAATCTGTCAGATGTCAGAATAGCCAAAAGTGTTTTAGACCTTGAAGGCTCTACAGGAATCCATCAAGGAGCACAGGCAAGCACTTACCCCTGGGGATGGTGAAATAACTCCTGGGAGTGGGGTCCCAGCATTTGGCTACCGTTAGGCTAATAGGTCTGGAAAGAAAGAAAAGAGGCTGGGATGAATTTCCTTGCAGAAGTTGTGAGAACCTCAGTGAACTCCCTTGAATTAACTTATTCCTATGCTGCAGTTGTTAAGGACATTTTGAGAAAGCTTTTGTTGAGCTGGTCAAGGTACATTCACAGTCTCAGGTTGTTTCAATTATTCCATCTATCAGCAGCACTACTGCTGCAAACCTGAACGATCAGCTCTGTTTATCTAGTCAGAGCTTTAAAGTCTCCAAATAGTGCCAACAAAACCAGGCAACTCCTAGTTTGTGTTGCTTTTAGCTGGTAAACTGGAACCAGCCTGATCTATTCATCACTTACACTGAGAAGTTCAGAGCTGAGATCAGCAGCTACACTTGATTGCTTATTCAGACCAAAATGTTGGTTCTTCTGACATTTGCTCAACAGTAATAACTGCACAAGGAGGATAAGCAGCAAAAGAGGTTTTGAGAAGCTCACCCAGGCTTGGAGACTATTTCCCGTAAGACTCGTACTGCATCATCATTGCTCATGTTCTCAAAATTGACGTCATTCACCTGAAATGTTGCAAGATACAGAGGTCAGGCTTTGCAACAGGAGAGGTAAAGACATTTTACTTGTTTGTTTCCAAATGTATTTGCCTTATAAGTGTTTCCATTCTTCTGAGCAGCTGCAGAAATGTTTTGTTTCCCAGAGCACAAACTATCCAGCAACGAGTTGGCAAAGAGTTATAGTTCCACGTAACACATTCCTCCCACTACAGGTGAACTCTGGCAACTGATTGTTACGTCCCTGAATCTGGTGGGATGGTTGAGCTGAAGCCACTAACGCACGAGCCAGCAGCACGGATTTTTGGACATGACCAACCTGCAGAAGCATGTCTCCTGGTTCAATTCGTCCATCTGCTGCCACAGCCCCTCCTTTCATAATAGAGCCAATGTATATGCCACCATCGCCCCGGTCATTGCTCTGTCCTACAATGCTGATCCCCAGGAAGTTATACTTTTCTATACAGATAGAAAGTGGAGGGTGGGAAACAAACAAACAAACAAGGTGATTGGAATGATAGTGAAAAGCTACCGCTACGTCAGTCCTCAAAAGCAGTACACGGCTCCCTGGCAGCACATCACCTGGGCCATGCTTGACTTATTACAATTACCCGTTTACCCTTTTGCTCTGTGTCTGGCCTGGCATGTTTACTGCAGCAAGGAAGAATTGCTAAGCACTGTTTTTTCATACCAGACACTGAAAAGTTGAATTAAAAAAAAAAGGCAAGAGCAATGACATTGAAAAGACGTGTCTACACCTAGAAATTAAGCACATAATCAGCATTAGGCAATGTTTGTTTTTCCACACCTTAAAGGCAGAAAGAATTTGGTGTTACTGAAAAACGCTGGATTGACAGTCCATTATCCAGACATTTCCATCTGGCTAAACAAAGAAATGTATGAGCAGCAAAACCGCAAGCTTCGGTGTCCTTTTTGTTCCTTACAATAAGTCTGACCCATTACCATTCCTAGGAAGGGCAAAATTCCATTTCCCAGGTTCAGAGATCCAGCTCCTTTTCTGGGCTTACCAAGAATTACACTTATCTATTTGTGCAGCTGACTCACAACTACCTTGTGCTGGACCAAATGTGGGCAACTGATTGCCAGCAGAACAACAACTCTCAGCTGTGATACCCTTCAGTTCAAACTGCAGTTATTTCACATTAAGGGAACTTTCAGCTGGGTTCGCAGGCTGCTGCACCATGACAAAAATAGATTTGGATCACTTAAAATTCATCATTAAAAAAAAATTGCTCATTTCTTACCCATGTTGAGCGTGACAGTGATGATATTCAGGGACATAGTAGAATCAGTGATGCTGCTGAACGAGGATGACTGCAAAACACAACAGAGAATTCTCCAGGTTTTAAATAGCTCCAAGACAGACAATAAAAGCAATCACTGAAGACAATTTTATCAGGAACTGATTAATTGTTTCTGTTTGGAAGGTATACAAACAAAACAGTGGCCTCCTGCAGATACTATTCTTCGTTTAGAACCTGTGAGGAAATGGGCACGTTCTCCAAAAGCTGCTCTGTAAAACACACACAGCCAGTTCTCAGCCGCATCACTCCTGCTTCCTGGCTACGCGCCATGCAGACACACTGAGGTATTAGGGTGTCCCGTGCAGTGGGAGAGCGACTCCAGAGAACCCTGGAGCCAAGGGAGTCTTTCCAGGGAATTCTCCAGGACGCGGGATCTTCCCAGCTTCCCCCCGGCCTCACCCTGTCCATCTGCCGCATCCTCTGTTTCCTCCGCCGGCGTTTGTGCTTCCGAATGAGCCGCGACGAAGTGCTCTGCTCCGTGGAGCTGCTCAACCTGGGGGAAATTCGGAGCAAGTTTCAGCTCTGGGAAGCTGAGCCATTTGCCATTCCCTGCGCCCTTCCAAAGAACGCTGGTTGTCACAGACAAAGATCATCAGCATCTTGGTTTAGTGCCCCAGTGCTCCCAGGTAACTCATCCTCCAGCACCTAAGGGTGAACCAGCGCCTCAAACAGTCTCTCACATTAATTCAGAGAGTTCACCATCAACAGACATTGCAGAAACATTTTTATGTCTCTAAACACTGGCTTTTTCATAGATAAACAGTAGAAGATGGTGTTGAAAAAATGTGAGCAAAGAAAGAATACAAAAAGCATAACTATATTACACTGCAGAAACCGCAAATGAAGGGCTCCACTTAGGGGTTTTATCCCTTCTTGTAAGCAGCTGGGCTGCAATTTCAGTTGTGTTAATAAACCCATGTTCATTGCAGCTTGCTCTGGCAAGACTCCTAGTCCGTGTAAGAGAGTATTTGTAAACAACAGGTCCCAAATACAGCATAAAGATGAAGAAACAGAAATCAGGAATTGTAAGCAGCAATTTCTTGCATTACCTACTAGCCAAAGCCCTGCCTGTATTTTTTAACAGAAAGGCTAATAAAAACCACAGGAAAGATTAAAAAAAAAAAAATCTGCATTCCTCAAAGGAAAAAAGGTAACAAAGCATTCATTAAATTAAAGGCAAGCCGCCTGTATACTTTAAAAAGAAGCACTGTCAATTCTAAAGGGAGGAATGAATGCAGCTGATATTTTCACAGTGAATTATTTCAGTTACTTCAGAGCAAGAATACTAATTGTTGGTTGCTGACAATAACTCTACAGCCACAGGTTCCCAAATTCTAGATATTTACTTGCTTAAGAAAAGTCAGGCAGAAGCAACAGTTATTGAAAAACTTACGGGGAGCATCTTACATCAATCTATAATCAAAATATCACCTATCACCTGCAAAAGCCACTAACATTCCATTATATCAGAACTTGAAGACAAAGGAGTTACAAACTTTTGTCTCTTTTCCTGCATCCTCCTCAAAAATAAAGATTAATCAAAACAGCAACAACAACTCTGCTTCCTGAGCTTCCAAAGTCAATAAAACTGCCTTGGTACTTTGAGAACTTCCGACTCGGATCCGCTTGTACTACAGAAACGATGCCTTGTGCCACACACAGAAAAGCAGCCAAATGCATTTTGCTAAACTTCAAACCTCTCCAAAAGCGCCGCAAGCCCCACAGCCTCCTCACCTCGGATGCAGGAATATTCCTCACTCCTGCCTTGTCTCTCCGTGTCCTCCCGCGGCTCCTCACGGCAAGGAGCAAACCCAGCCCTCGCAGCCCTTGGAGGCCCCGCTCTCCGGCAGAGCAGGGCTGCTGTTCCCGGGCGGCTGCGCCGGCCTCCTAGGAAAACCCTTCCCTGGCAGCACCGCGCGCGTGCCGGGGAGCAGAGCATTCCTCGGAGCATTCCAGCGCGGCCGTCCTGCCGAGCTGGTCCGACAGCTGCGCCGGTGCCAGCAGCTCCTGCCCTCGGAAGGAAACGGCCTCCGCAGCAGTTTTTAAGAGTCTTTTTCTTCTCAGGTTGGGCACAGGAAGTTTTACTTTATTCACAGATGGATATTTGCTGGGTTTAGTGCTGTGCTTCTATGTGCGCATGCTCTAAGTGTCTCCTACCGCATATCTAGTGCCATGGAAATAATCCATTTATTCAAACAAAATCACCTGCAGATTTTGTTTCTTTTTTTGAGGTGGGGGGAAAAGGACGACTGGAAGCTCCAAAGGCTTTAAGAAAGTACCACAGGTTAAGCACTGATGCTGCATGTGACTATCCAAATGCGGGAACTACAAAGCATCCTAAGGATTAGTTTTCTGTATCTTCAGGTGTCAGCAACTTTGCTGGAACTGCACAATAGGTTCTCACAGCTAAAGCCAGGACAAAATCTTCAGTGTTACTAGAGTTACCCTTTCAACCCTTTGGAAAGGCTCAGCATTTAAACAGCATCAGAAGGACCAGGTGTTCTTCAACAGGTATTTAAGCTGTGACTAACCTTCAGATCACAAATACATCCCCTGAACTCAATAAACTAATCACCTGTTTGTAAACATGGCAAACATGGAAGCGTCATCTTCGTGAGCTGCTGTTCTCTGCTGTTTCTCATCTATGTAAAATATCAAAATGCCCTGTCGATACCCTGTGTTAGCTACAGGCCTCTCTGAGCCACCACAGACCTGTAGGAGGTTTTGGTATCCCGTCTGGATGCATGGGATGTTGTAACAGCTCTAGAAGCAATGCTTACAGAATGCTGCCACTGAAGCCAGGAAGAGAAAAACCATCAGTTTTGACTGGTTTTGCACCTCTAAATACACTTTTCTTTCAAATCTGAGGAATTCATCAGCTTAGAAACTTTTTAAGGAATAACTAAAATATTTTGAGAGATTAACAAGGATGCCTTGAAATGGAAGACTTTGTTACTAACAGCAAAGAATAATTCAACACATTCTTTCTGGTTGCATGAAAAGAATAATCCAAAAGTTATATACCTGCCTTTGTAAAACATTAACTTTTTAATTCCTCTACTCATCGGCCTAGGATAGCGTGCAATTCCACAGGAATTCCCTGATTCCAGGGATCAGTATTTAATGACTGCAGCACTGTGAAACACCTACCTGCTCGTGTTGTCGTCATCGTCCGAGTCGATGAAGCTGCTGGACTCCAGCTCGCTGCTCATCATGGTGGAAGAGCTGTCGTACCCAGGCGGGTGCTCACGGTGTCTGTCCAGTTTGGGATGGCCGTTTATCCGAGGGGCTGCAAGAAGAAATGCCTTGCTATTATTCAAACAAATTTCTACAGGGTACAGTCAAAACACGAACTGCAGTTAATTATTTCTGCAAGGAAAAATGGATTTACTGCTATTTCATAACGGCAAGGGATGCACACCACAAAAGCTCTCAGCTGCCTCTTCCGAAACTCAAGTTAGTTTCAGTTGTAATAGTAAAGATCCATCCACATAATCAAAAGGCCCAGGCTCTGGCCACATTAAGCTAGCAAGAAAGGGGGGAAAACACACAGGAATGGAAAAGACAACATGCTCTTAAGACAGGCAGGCAGACATGGAGACAACAGCGTATTTTTAGTTCTTTAACAAGCAGCCTTAGGGCCTAATATTGCAATACACTAAGAGTGCAGGTAAGTACCCTACCAAGAACGAAGGGCATTCAGCAATGTCAGATGCAATTCAGCACTTTAAAGGTCAAGCCTCTAATGAAAGGAAATAGCAAGTGGAAATAGCTCAATATACAAGTAATCAACTAGCAAAGAGACAGGGACTACTTTTAAGATGGTCTCTAGTAAACAATTCTGCAATGGCATCATATGTTCTGAAGTAGCTTTAACACAGTTTCCTGAAGCTCTCAGTCTTGAACCTTAAAATAAGAGCACTCAGGAACTGCAGCACACAGGAGATCAGGTCAACAGCTTCCTTGAACAGGGAAGCTTTGCCGAGTTGCCCTTTTCAACCTAATGATTTATTACAGTAGCCCCATGGGATCAGAATGGAAAATAGATTCAGAAAACACATCAAAAAACACAGGAGTCAAGCAACCTAGGAAGAATTTCAGCATTTCCCTTCTGTTCTTCTGAAATGCAGCATTGAGTACCAGGAAAAGGGAAAGACAAGTGAAACCAAAAAATCTGCCCTTTAATGCTTCCCTCTTATCAAGTTCACACAGGCACATCTAAAAATCTAACGTTAAAACCAAATCCCCTTTTACCATTCTTGCAGTAATAACCTTTGTGCCCATATTAGCAGCCCGGCGCTTTGGGCGTCCCGAAGGAACGCGCAGGCAGCACCAGGCCAGGGCAGCTCGCTGCTCCACCCGCTGCTTGAGTCATTTTCCTTCACTTTGAGCCACTGACAATTTGGAAGCGTTAAATAAACAAAAAGACACCTGCTTCCAAAAAGCACTATATATGTGACTTTTGGTTTTCTCACTGGAGGCAAATAGTGGGTGGGACTGAATAAACTCTGTGCTGGCATCTCTTGTCCCAAGTATTCCAGATTCAGAGCCATTTTAGACTCAATGGGTGGCATCTATTAATTCTTAATTAAGCCTGGAAATTCTTGTCTGGCAATAAAGGAAAAGCCAAGCTTACTTTGATGTATTGACTAGAAACAAGAACTGAAGCTTATGCATGTACCATAGTTCTACCAGCATAAAACCTTGCTGCTCATCTAAACCTAGTGAAATCAGAAACTATTTCAGAGGATCTGGGCTCAGACCTTATACTGTTAAAATATAAGACTCTCAGACTGTCTACATTGCAAACTAACACATCCAACAGATAATGTGACCTACCTTTAAATGAGCAAACTTGAATAATAGGGGCAGTCTAGCCATGACAGCATGGAGCTTACCGTCAGCTAAATTATCACTCCTCTCCAGGCTGAGCATCCTCTAAAGGTACAGAAATGTCTTCAGATCATTAGACAGAATCTCCCTGCTACTTCACTACAGGCTGCCCAGATCTCTAGAAACTCCCAAGCTTCAAAGTTTTTCAAAGCAATTATCAAGTTTTTTCCATTAAAATACGGAGCACACTTCAGTAGTATTCCTACAAAAGCACTTTTGGGTCTGAAAGATGAGAAGAAAGATTGTTTTTTATTGTGAACGAAGCAGGGGAAGGAACTCACCATCTTCGTGCCCTTCTCTAGCCCTGCGCCGATGTCTGTCTCGCCGGTGACTGACGACGGACTCGGTTCCCGTCTCGTTGTCCAAGCCATCCCGGCTGCTGGCAGCATTTGGGCTGTAGGAGGACAAATAGGAAGAAACGGTGGAGTCTTTTTGATAAAAAACAGTTGCATTTGCAGTAGCAGCATCATTACACCAAAAATGCTACCATGAGACATCAGCATGAAGTTTTTATGGAGAAAAATTTACTGATGGGCCAAGAAAATGATTTTTTTTTAAACAGATCTCTCATGCAACAAAGTCAGCTTTTGCAATTGCCATTCGATTTGCCTTTGCACTGATATTGAAACAAAAAGTCAACTTTTGCAATTGCCATTCGATTTGCCTTTTCTACAACATTCCAAAGATGTTTACCTGGCAGTCTGACAGCAAGGGCAGAAGCCACAACTGCAGCCACTTTCCATACAAAGCTGTGACCTTGAAGGCTCAACTCCTGCAAGTCACAGCAAGGCTCAGAATAATTAAGTGCACGTCTGCAGGACAGATCCCAGGACCTCCTTGCACGCTCTCCAGTGCTCGGAAGTCACGTAGCTACATCCGTGCAGCACAGGAGCGAGAAAAGCCTCTCAGAGCTGGAACAGGACACAGCTCAATCGAATGGACTGGGCTGAAAGTGGCCTCCAGCTCCTGAAAATGCAGCTGAGCGTGGTCTGACACAGGCTAATGCTGCTCTGTGAAAGATGTCCCTCTGCAGGGACATCATACTCGCACTGCTCATGCTCTTCCTCTTGTCCCACAAATTCCACGCGTTAGAAAAAATAATCATTAAAAACTTCATTACTTGAATGAATGAAATGCACTGGCATGTCTCCATATAAATTAGGAAATAGAGGTCCCTGTTTGAGCAAACATTTGAGCACACTAAGTCCCAATGACATTATCCAAATAAAAGCCAGTTGTTAAGTGCTGTCCCAAGTTGTCCCGTTGGCTGTCCCCAAGCTGTCCCCAAGTGCTGTCCCGTTGGCCTGTCTCGTTTCAGCCCTGCTCAGATGTGACCGTTTCCTAACGCAGGGTCTCTGTCCTTGGCTGAACACAAATGTGGGAACTGGGAGCCAAACACCGAGGCCTGGAAGACACCAAGACATCTCAGCAGCACCATCTAGTGACTCCACTGCCACCATCCGTCACCAAACAGGTCACCAGAATAGACGGGCAGGCAAAGGGGTTCGGAAGGAACCTCCCCATTTTCTGAGCGTGGATGTTCTCAATGCCCAGCTTACCAGCAAAGCCAAGTGCTGGTGCAGGAGGCACAAGATGAGCAGCAGAAGCCTCATTAGTGAGAGAGAGGAAAAGCAAAAGGCTTTACTCAATGAAACACATTGTCCACAGCCAAACTGCTACCTGGAAGCAAGGCTTTCCTCTGTCAAGCACCTCATTCCTCTAGCTGAGGCTGCCTACTGCTCTGTGTGCTCCATCCACTTCTTGTGGTCTTTCCAGGCCAGTAACATTTCTGTATGAGCAATTACACAACATTCTAGCTCAGCCGGGGCTTCTCATACAAATAAGACCCCAATTATCTTAGCACAATCATTTGCAAAGAAAAGAGACAGGAGATGACAGGTCTGTGGTCATTTCTGTGGCATGAAAAAGAAGGAAAATCTCAGTGGTCTAGGAGTAAAGAAGGTAACTCACATTGGGAGGGGAGGACGGGCTATGGGATTACAGTGACACTGAGGTTAGGGCTGTGAAAGTCACAGGGTTGCCCTAATGATGTCCTAGAAAATACAAGTCACGGGGCCATGAGGCAGAAGAGCTGCTGGAGAGGGAGCTGCAGAACCAGCCCGTGCATCTCCCAGGACACGGCCTCGACACGGGCGCCCGCGGGCCGGCCCTGCGGCCGGCGCAGAGCCGGGCTCCATCGCACGAGGGCAGCAAAGCCCTGGCGAGAAACACGGGTCAGCACCAGCATTCCCGGGATTTCTTGTCCCTTCCAATAGGCGTTTAGCTGTAAAAGACTCACCCAGAGCATAGAGGGCTCTTCCAGGCCTCAGGCACTCCCTCGTGGGATAAGCAGAAGAAACTCTGTAAATTAGA